TCCATTTTCCTTCAATTCATTTCAAGTTCATATATGTTACTCAATTCATGAGTTACATTATCTTTCAACAAACAAAATGAGACTACAACTCAATGGTTTCCAATTATGCAGAACACACATAAACACTTCAAATCTGCCATTTTACGGATATTTCGTCCGAAGGAATTGACACCCATGTATATTTTCTCAAATATGCCATTTTACAGATATTTTGTCCGCGGGAATCGGCACCCATGTATATTTTCTCAAATATGCCATTTTGCGGATATTTTCTCAAATATGCCATTTTGCGGATATTTCGTCCGCGGGAATCGGCACCCATGTATGTTTTCTCAAATATGCCATTTTACGGATATTTCGTCCGCGGGAATCGGCACCCATGTATATATATGATTTTGGGTCTTCACCCAAGACACTCTGGCCAGCTTGCTTCAGCGGAGTCCATCCCCTTTCTCCTCCCAAATAAACATACATATACAATGTATTTATAAACATAGTCATATGCAATGACAACCAACATTTGATTAGCATTAAATCGCCTAATCCTCATGCAATTTCTACAACAATCATAGCTATCCTCCACCGATAGCCCAATACATTTATCTCTAAACAGATATTCAATCTCAAGATAAATAGTTTATTCACAACTTCCAAAAGTGTAAGATAATACATATCTAATTTCACCATCTATACCCATAACCTTCCAATTTCACATTTTCAATGCTAATCCCAAATATTTATACAAAATAATAATTTAAAATCAAAATTAGGGCAAAGTCTCCCTCTTTCCAAATATCAACCCAAACACCAAAATCAACTATTTTGGCACAACATGATCTTATGTTCAAGCCTCATACTCATTTACCTCATATTCATCAAATACCCTCTTTTCATTTCACACCCAAATCCTAGATTTGTCCAAACCACAACCAAATCTCATCATCTATACACAATAGCAAATAACTAAGCTAAAAACCATATTAGAGTATAGAAAATCCCTACCTCAAGCTTAGAAGAAAAGATGAGCAAAACAAGGTTGAAAATCCAAAGATGTCGAAACCAACTTCTACTTGGATCAAAACGAAGCTCTTGACAAGCTCTACACTTAATCTCAAAGGAGCAAGGCAAGGAGATGCTTCCAAAAGAGTAGATCTAAAGATTTTTGAGCAAAAAAGTGATTTTGGAGAAGATAGAAGAGCCTCACGGCTTGGAGAAGGAAAAAGAGAAGAAAAGGTAAAGAATAGGTTAAGTGAGGGACCTATTTATAGTGCTAGGTTAAGTGAGGGACCTATTTATAGTGCTAGGCCATAATGAAATAAAGTCCCAAAGTCAACCCAAAAGATCAAGTCAAAATCCCCAAAAAGTAGGCCCAAAAACCAAACTGAAATATGGAAAAATGTCTGCAGGTGTCGACCCTTGCAGCACAGGTGTCGACTCTTGCAGCACACGTGTCGACCCTTATGAAGAAAAGCTGGAACACTAAGTTTGACTGCACAGCAGGTGTCGACCCTTCCCAAGGCTGGTGTCGACACCAAAATGCAGTGAGGAATTTCAGAACAAGGGTCGACCCTTCCCAGATTGGTGTCGACCCTTGCGGCCAACTCAAAGAGAAGGTGTCGACACCACCAAGGCCGGTGTCGACCCCAGAACATGATTTTCAAGTTTCCAAATAACTTTTCAACGTGAACAAGCGTGAACGAGCAATCCCAAAAAGTTTAAATCAATTTGTACACCTCCAAAACTAAGGTACAACAACACCAAAGATTCCCAAAACAAAATAAAGGATTCAAATACACTTCCCAAAAGCTTTGAAGGACACAAGTGTTACACCCACACAGACTAAACTTGCACCCTACCAAGACTAGACTTGTAAGGCAATTAAATTGCATCCCGCTCAAATATTTTTAAAGCTGAAAATATATCATGCGAATTATTTTTTTTTTTGACTAATTTTTGCTATCTTTATAACTTTGTATAAAATTGAAATATGCTGTATGATTAATATTTTTAAACTAATTTTTGTAACTATTTTTAGTATATGATTTGAGTTAATATTTTTATGTTTCAATCTTATTTTTTATTGATAACTATTCTTTTTTGTTGATAATTTTAGAGACATTTTCATTTTTATTTTTATAAACTTTGTATAAATTTTAAAATATAAATCTGATCTTTTTAAAAATTAATAACATTGAGATGATATGGACTATACTTTTAAAACAACAATAATATTAAGAATATTTAATAAAATGCATAAAATAACAATTTAAAAAAAAAATAAAAGTTGCGTTATTTTGAAATATTTGAATAATTAAAATGTTATGTGCGGCTAAAGTTGGTTAAAAAAATTACTTTTGATAATTTAAATTTAAAAAAGATGTTTTTAAATTTTAAAAAAACGTAATTTTAAGATTTAAAAAATATCCTCTCTTTTTTCATCAAACTTATATATTGTTTAAAAAATAATAATTTTGAAAATGTAACCAAATAGTGATCTTTAGTGTTTAAAGTCTTAAAAATTAAAAATTATTTTTATTTAAGTAATTTAAGTAGTTTATAGAAAAATGTTTAAGACCCACAAATAGTCTCTCACAATTTGATCTACAGTAATGTGATAAGATACATGCTAACTTTCGATTTATCATATACTCAATTGTGTAGGACCTACTTTTCTTGCCACCTTACTGTGGGTACATATAAGAATCCAAATTGTGGGTCTTTAGCATTATTCATCTCTTTGTTTTTTTGCACATTTCTTGTAAAAATTTTAAAAATCAACTAAAATTTTCAATTCCCAAACGAGTTCAATTTTTGTTTGTATCAATTTTAATCAGACATTTGATTTTAATCATTTAAATAATTTAAAATAATGTAATTTTTAAATTATTATGTTAAATTTATTAAATATATTTAATATTAATCTCATTTTAAACCAATTGTTGATATATTTTTAACAGTATTAATTTTATAATTTTTTTTTTATATTTTACAAGTTATACAATATTTATCAAAATAAAATAATAATATTATTATTTGTATGGTTTATTATTATTTTTTATTTATACAATATGAGTTGATATCTATATGGTTTGAATATTATTATTATTATTTTCTATAGTTTGAGTTAATATTTTGATTTTTATTATTCTTTACGTTTTTTTAATAAATAAAAATAATATTTTTTGTTCAAAAAGTAATTCTAAATAATTATTATTTACATTAATTTCAAATCATACAAATCATTTTAATTATGTAAGTTTTTTTCGTATATTTTTTGAATTATTAATTTAAGTCTCATTTTAAATATTTCGTTGATATTTTTTTTGAATAATATTAATTTTATAAAAATTGAATTTATATAGTAAAAATTATATGTATTTTATTAAAATAAATTTTGTTTTGTTTTTTAATTAAAAAAAGTGAGGTGTGTGATGTGATGTGCGCTTTGGAGAGAAAGTGAGAGAGAGGAGGAAAGCGACGTGTTGGGGAGGGGGGAGGGGTTTGGATCAGGATCCTCATGGTTCTCTCCAGCAGTCCAGCAGTGTCCTGCACTTTGATTTTCAGTTTTGTTGACACTTCATAATTTGTGCATTTCTATTCATGCCTTTGGGTATTTTCAGTTTCCTTCGTTTTTATTTCTTATTTGTCAAATGTTATTAATCTAAAACAATGGTGATATAACTGGAAGTTTGGAGACAAGTCAACAATTTTGGTGGTGGTTTGAGCAGGTTACAATGCCTGATGCTTTGAACTACTAGATTGGCTACTAAGTATTGTTAGATGGGAATCTATAAGGGTAGCGCAGTTGGTTGAGGGTAAGGGACCAAAGATTTAGGAGTATGCTCCTCTCTAAGTCTCGGGGTCGAATCCCACCCTCAGCTGGTTACTGGCGGGCCATTGCGTCTTTGTCTGGTCGATCGGCTCAGGATCCCGAGATTAGTCGAGGTGCGTCACTCCGAATGAGTGCTGGCCTGGATACTTGGCTATAAAAAAAAAGGTATTGTTGGATGGGAATTCAACTGAACTAATTAATTTTTGATTTGTTAGAATTAATGTTTAGGTGGTGTTATTTTTGGTATGTTTTCCTGTTGTGTATTGTAATTGTTAGGTTGCCTTCTGGCCAACGGTCCTTTCTTCCAATGAAATTTTTGATGATTTTTTTTTTTTTTTATTTTCTTTTTGTAATGTTTTATTCTCTAAAAAAAATTTGCACAGTTTTATTTACAAAATCAAGTTTATTGCTAGTGGATTGTAGCGGGCAAAGGTTTGGAAATATAGAGGAAACAAAACAAAATGAAACAAAACCACAACTACACCATGATTTACCAAATGAAACAAAACGTATTCTTAGGCATTCTGAAGTACCAAATGTATTATTAACCATATACCAACACAACTGCAACCATCTTTATTTGTATTCTCAAGTATGAAATGTACCGCTACAACCATTACACTGAATTACATCATACAAGTACCAAATGAAACAAAATGTAACCCACAAAAAAAAAAAAAAAAAAAAAAAAAAAAAAAAAAAAAAAAAAATACAAACAAACAAACAAAAAGTTTTTTAAATCCCTTGAATTGTAGAGGTCATAATCCTCCTCATCTTTGTCTAGAAACTTGTAATAATTGCAACAAACCTGCTCTGTTGTTATCCTCCTCAAATTATCTATGTTTTTGTGGAAATGTCTTTATAACATTCTTCCAGCTAGACGTTTGTTGAAACGTCGAAAGGTGTTGAATGATGCACTATGTCTAAGGTGTTTGAAGGAGGACGAGACGTTAGAATATTTGTTTTTTAAATGTCCTGATTCACTTAGGATTTGGCGATGCAGTCAGTTAGTCTTGGATTTTTTTAATTGGAAAGCCTGTTTTATTATAATTGAAAGCAACAATCTTTGGATATGAATTTTATTTGCCAACTTGTTGTTGTGCTTTGGACCATTTGGAAGCAAAGAAATAGTGTTATTTTTAATGAGAATATGTTGTCTTGTGAGCAGGCTATTAATTTAGGTAATGATCTGTTTGGATCATTGTCTAGAAGATATGATGAATCAGAGTTTGTAGGATGCCCGAGGGAGGAAATCGACACTACGATCTTCTGAATCTAAACAACGTCCAATTAATACACATTAATGTGTGTTTGGGAGAGGAAAGATTGGGTATATACCTCATCCTTAGCATATTGCACAAAGTGGTTGTCCCGTGACGTGAATCCATAACCTCAATGTTATTAGGCTAAGGTTTTTACCATTGAACCAATAATCACCCCTAAAACAACACCCATTTAGTACACATTAATGTGTGTTTGGGAGGAAAAAGATTGAGTACATACTTAACTTTTGGCATAATGCACAAAGTGGTGGTCTCAAGACTTGAACTCATAACCTCAAGGTTGTTAGGCCTAGACATAACCATTGAACCAATGGTCACCTGTTGTTCTAATATTTGTTTACAAGAATACAAAGTGCTAGTGAATGGCTCCTGGAGACAAGCAGATGGTAGTGCTGGTGTTGCGTGGCTTTGTTATAACGCCAATGGTGAGCCGGTAGCACAACGAACTTTTCATTCTCTGCTCATGTCAGTGTTTGAAGCGGAAGTGTTGGCTTGTCATAGGGCGATTCAATGGGCAAAGGATCAAAGTATGAGAAAATTAGAATTGTGGACGGGCTCACAACTTTTGGTGGATGTTTTATGTAATAGAGTTAGACTCGTCTAGTCTTCTTCCACTTTAATTGTAGATATCAGGGCATTTAATAAATATTTTGATTATCTGGTTGTATGTAGAAGAGGAATAGCTGATTTGGAGGAGGATTTGAAGGATTTATACTTCTTTGAAGAGGAAGATACAAGCAGTGTTCAGGTGGGATGGTGGGACCCGAGCTAGCCAGAAACAAACAATAGATGGTTGAGTGAGGAAGAGTCCATGTGGAGGAATAATAGGAGAGACTGAGAAAGAAGAGGAAATCGCTGCTAGTGGCAAGGCTGAGGCTGCACCTCTGACTGAGAAAGAACAGACACTGGAACCATTTCAAAGGGAAAGGAAAAGAAGAACCCGAGGCAACGGTGGGAGATGCCCAAACTACTAGAATGGTCAAATGGGACCCCAGCGATCGAAAAAGGATGTTGAGGAAGCGCAAAAAATATTGGGATTCAGAAACTGAGATTGTGGTGGAGGAAGAATGGTATGATGATGGGGCATGTGATGTTAACATGCTCCGGATAGAACCTGATACTAGCTCGACCATGACTGTAAGAGAGCGGTGGGAAGACAACGACCTAAGTCATGTGTACACTAACGAAGGCTGGAAAGCTGATACCCCGGATGACACTTGGTATATTGACGAGATCAATCATATGACTCGGAGCGGTCGGTACTTCAAACCCGCAGCATTAGACCGGCCAGAGACCTCTAACAAAGAGGCTGAGAAAGCAAAAGAGAAAGATGTTGAGGAAAACATGGTCTTAAAATAACTCAAGAAGATTCAGGCCGACATATCAGTCTGGGGGTTGATAATGGCATCTCGAGAGCATAGACAAGCACTGTTAGAGGCAATGAACCGGACTAAACTGCGTATCGATAACACTGCGAACTAATTGGTATTGTTGGTAACATTTGGGGACGTTACGCCAGTCATATCTTTTACGGATAAGGAGTTACCACCTCAGGGTGCCAACCACAACCGTCCCTTGTATGTAACCCTGGAAAGTCGAAAAAAGTGAATTCCGATGGTGTTAGTAGATACTGGATCAATGATCAATGTGTGTCCAGTGAGGACTACCTATGCCATCGGTTTCAGGCGGATTGACTTTACACCCATGACCCAAGCTGTCCGGGCTTATGACAATACAAGCCGGGATGTTATGGGAACGTTTAAGAGGGTTGTATCATCAACAATCCATCAGTTAGTAAAGTACCCCTTTAAACTCGGGATTGCCACTGTGTACGGTAATTCTGCGATCCATCCTCCCTAGGGAACCACTACACCATTATTAGAAATCATACATAGGAAAGAAGATGTGTTCCTTTCTGGATTCTCTCTGGCAGAAGCCCAGTTGGTCCAAACCATTATGGCAGAGAGCGATGGAGACTATGTGAGTACGCAATCCATTTACATGATGAACAAACAGGGTCATATACCCGGATCAAGACTGGACCGAAGTGCCAGGCAAGGAGGTATTGTTGCTAAGGAGATCAGTCACAACCCTCACGCTTTCGGGCTAGGATACAAACCTATCACTGCAGATTGAAAAAAGAAAGGGCAGGAGCTAAGAGAAAGGCTAAAAGCAAAGAGGACTAGGAAGCAGTATGAGTTAGTCCACAAACCAATACAGGGGACCTTGAATGGACGTTTTGTCCACCAAAAGGAAGACTTTCCCTTTTGTGGATTCCCAGAGCCCTGGAATGATTGGGAAACAAAAACAAGGTATCCGGGGTTCGAGATCTTTTTTTGGACACTAGCTACCAGAAGAGGAGGATGAATAAGCAGACCTGAGCCCTAGCACAGATCAAAGTGGGACTGTAAACATAGATATCGAAGAGGAAGAGCTATTGGTAAAACGTTGGCCGACCTGCTGACAAGTTCTACTACTGGCACTGAGACCACCAACTTGGGGGATAGTTTTACTATGTCAATGATCAGGGATAACGCATCATCGAATTTCTCCAATCTTATCCTGGATGCATCTGAGGCTCCATGCCTAGTTTGGAAGTTTGAGCAAGGCGTCATCACCAGTTCTTAATCGGATAGTGAGTCCGGATCTGATTCCACTGAGTCTGTGGAGTCGAAGTCAAATTCGAGTTCCTCTGAGTCTGGTACTTTTAGGAGTGGTAACCTGGATACCAAAGTCCTTTCCAGGTCATCTTTTAGCTTTTCTTTTGAGTCCACTGTAACTGAAGATCTAGACTTTTTGAATGGGAATGCTGTGGACTTTGCCTACTTCTTTGTGCCTTTGGTTTGTTGTACTGATCTTAATTTTCAAAATTTTGACATAAACGAAGAGGAAAAAATTCCTCAGGTTTTGAAAATTTTGGTTGATCATGAGAAGGAGAGGCATGTTAAGCCCTGTACAGATGAAATTGTATCAATTAACGTGGATACTGAGGAAGCTCCTCGCTTGGTCCAGATCGGGTCCACGCTGTCTTCGGAGGAATTGGAGCGTTTAATTTCTTTATTAAAACATTGCAAAGATGTTTTAGCGTGGTCCTACAAAGACATGCCTGGAATCGATCTTGAGATTGTACGGCACCGGATCCCTCTTGACCTTGAGGCTCGACCAGTTCAGCAAAAGCTGCGTAAAGTTCACCCGGATTGGGCTTTGAAGATTAAGGAAGAAGTTACCAAATAGATTGAGGCAAGGTTCTTCCTTGTATCTAAGTATCCGATGTGGTTGGTTAATACTGTTCTAGTCTCAAAGAAAGATGGCAGAATCAGAGTCTGTGTCGACTTTAGGGATCTGAACAAGGCTAGTCCGAAGGATGATTTTCCACTGCCGCATATTGATGGGTTGGTAGACTTCACTGCGGGCCATGCGTTGCTTTAGTTCATGGATGGGTTTTTCGGGTATAACCAGATTCTGATGGCATCCAAGGATAGGGAGAAGACCGCTTTCACTACTCTGCGAGGCACTTATTGCTACCGAGTCATGCCATTTGGGTTGAAGAATCTTGGGGCCACTTATCAAAGGGCCACAACTACCATTCTACACGACATGATCCACAAAGAGGCTAAAGTGTATGTGGACGATATGATTGTCAAGTCCAAAGACTGAAAAGGCCACTACACCGCCTTGGAGAAATTCTTTTAACGGATCAGAGAGTATAGATTGAGGTTGAACATGCAAAAATGCACCTTCGGCTTAACAATAGGAAAAATGCTGGGATTCCTTATCACACAGAGAGGAATTGAGGTAGATCCTTCCAAAATCAAGGTCATCTTAGAAATGCAACCACTAAGGATTGAAAAGGAGGTGCGCGACTTTCTGGGTAAAGTGAAATTCATAAGATGGTTTATTGCAAAACTAATCTTGACTTGTAAACCATTATTTGGTCTCCTAAAGAAAGGAAAGAAGTTCTAATGGGACGATTGCTATCAGTTCGCTTTTGAACAGGCTAAGCAGTACCTGCAGAATCCGCCTGTGTTATCACCGCTAGAATTGGGAAAATCGCTGATCTTGTACTTGTCGGTGACAAACTCAACCATGGGGTGTATGTTAACTCAGGAGTTCGAGGCCAAGATAGAGAAAGTCGTCTACTACTTGAGCAAGAAAATACTGGATTACGAGACCTGTGACACTCCCCTCAAGAAATCTTGTCTAGCCTTGGTATGGGCAACTGTAGACACCCCATTTTTGACCGACCTTAAGACTTAGACGTCACCGATTGAGCGATCGGTGATATTGCATATTGTGCTCGTTCTGAGGTTTCAGAGTCTCGGCTGCGAGTCTTGCCTCCGGACTTCCGGACTCTTTTGTACTTTGCCTCGGTTTGCGAAGTAGGTCCCGTTTCCTCCGTTTTCTCTTCCCGAAGGGAGGGAGAGGTCTCGTAGACCATCTCTTAGTGGCCGTAGGCTACGTTTCATGGTCGTAGGCCATTTTTCCCATTTAGAGCCCAGTTTCTGATTTTTCAGAGCCGTTAGCCGTGTGCCTCAGTTCGGGACTGCTTAACCACCTCCGTTTGCTCTGATTTTTGGCACACACCTTGTTTCCTCCCTTTTGAGGGACACTGTGGCCCGAGAGACCAACTTTGTGGTCGAACGCCACCTCTGGTGCCTAATAGTCAGTTTTCGAGGCCCCGGGCCGCACATTTTGGCCCCCGAACCTCCGTTTTGCATCCGTCTTGGCCCATTTTTGGCAGGGGCCCTATCTTCATGGTTAGGAAGGTGGTGGTATTGTGGGAGGCCACCTTTTTCCCTGAAAAACCAGCTTTCTCCTTTTTCTCTCTCCTCCAGTTGGTTTTTCTTACTTTTGAGCCACAATTTCTGATTTTTCACACCACCATTGTGTTGTGCTCATCTGGGAGGCCACCAATATGGGTGGGCCGACCAGTAATTCCTCTTGACCCTTTTGAACCCCTCTAAAAAGCTGGTTTTTCTCTCTCTTGGGTCACATTTTCTAGTTTTTCGCCACATGGCTGTGTTCTACTCATCTGGGAGGCCACCTTTCTGGGTAGGCTGACCAGCAGTTTTGGTTGAACCTTTTGACCCCTGGTCGGCGACCAGGGGAGGTGGTCGGCTGACCACCCTGACCCTTTTGAACTGGTCGACCAGTTTTGTCTCTCTAAGTGTGTTCCAGCTGTGTCAGCTGTTTTACACTTGACCCACTGTCCGAGGGTTTTGTCCTTGTTTTGGCCCCTTTTAAGTTGGTTTTCACCCCTTTGCTTGGCTTCAAAGAGGAATTGGCCCCTTTGGTCAAGCTTCTTGAGGAAGCTTGACCCTTTTGGCCTAGCTTCTTCAAGAAGCTTGACCCCTTTGGTCAAGTTTCCTTTAGAAGCTTTGAGCCTCTCTCTTGGCTTCTCCAAGAAGCCATGGCCTCCTCCCTCTATATAATCAACCCTTCACCTCCATTTTCAAGGGTTAGAAGCTTTTGGCTGGAAATATACATACAACCCTTTATCTCTATATTTCAAGCCTCAAAACACTCATATTCTTGGCCATTTTACCCTACACCTCTTAGCCTACCACCTCCCTCATTCATTCCAGCACCTTAGAGGTCATTTATAGAGGTTGAAAGCTCACCAACTTGGTCCAGAAGCTGCTGGAGGTTGGCTCTACAAGGGTAAGTCTTCATTTCCCCTTTTCTAGCCTTATTTTGCTTCATTACTTAGCCCCATTTGCAAGCATTTCTGGGCCTCGACCTAAACTATAAAGTGTCTTATTTTGAGCTCTT